GTTTCCTTATAATGGGATTGCTCAAAAGTGGTTAGAACGAAGTTGAAAAGGTAAAAATTACGAGTTATTTAAGTGTATCTATATGTAAAAAGATATTCTCTAGTCAGGAAAATTTCGAACCTAGAAAGAGGTGGCATTAGTGGAAAAAGATTTGAGTAAAATTTAAGGTGTGGGTAATTAAAGTGTACAAGCTAGGAATGCCGTTTACACATAAATGTTTTCTGATGAAAAGAGATAAATATATATCACTAAATTAAATCTTGTTACAGCCCTTACCGGTAACAGATAAAGGGTGTTGTAATCAAGTGACAGATATAACATGTATAGTTGTATGCTAAATGTAGTAAGTTGGTAGCAGTGCAGATACCGGATTGTTCTTGTTTAACCCTTACAGCTCACAGTTGATCGCTGACCAGACTTCGAAATGAGTTGATCTTGCTACTGATAATCTGTCAAAAACAGTGGCAGACTGCCTGAGCGTTCGCGAGCCAAAAAGTACTAAAGTTTTTCCATGATTAATGCGCCGGCGGGTAATCAAACTCGGGCCACCCGCGTGGCAGGCGAGCATTCTACCACTGAACCACCGACGCTTGCCATGAGGTAATCCTTAGGTGTAGATCGTTTCTGACTTCGACTCTAGATATCTCTAAATAAAAAAGAGATTGATACAGCACCGAGTTAGAATTTCGAAATTGTTCAGGAGCGGTTTTTCAAGACGTACGTTGATAGCAGTGCAGATGGCAGATGTATCGCGCTCTCTTTCCTATTATTTCAAAAATGTGAAAAATTTGTTCTTCGGCGTCTTCAAACAGTACTTTGCGTTTCTTTATCGTATGTGTGCAGACGGAATCATAATCAAAGATGCTGCTTTTAAGTTTGTCAAGACGTAGAATATCACCGAAGAGTTTGCTCTGATTAAAACCCTACAGCTTACAGTTGGAATATAACAGCAGGTGTACGCTTTGGTAGACCTCTACGAGTTACGGTCTAAACGATGGCGGAATTTCGCCGTGGGCTCGTCCCGTCGTTGCTTCTTTTTTAAAAGTCGGTGGCTCACTTTGCAACCGGTAGAAGGTTGGAAGGTGCTAGTGGTTCCCGAGAATTGTTGAGTCGGCTGGGAATCGAACCAGGGCCGCCCGCGTGGTGACTGAGGATTCTACGAGTGAACTACCAGCGATTGCCATAAGGGAAACCTTACGTGTAGGTCGCTTCTGAGTTCGACTGCTGGTTTTCTTTTTTCCAATGTGAGGTGTTAGGGTTTTCGCTGTGAATTTTGAAACCGTTTGGGAGTGGTTCGTTAGAACGCAAGTTGATAATATTTGAGGTTGTGCAGTTATCACGCAGTTTATCACGCATTTCTTAGAACACACAGTAGTTACATTACAATGCATTTCTTGACGCTTATGGTTGCCAAATTTTAATGAAGAACTTAAAGAAGGTGAGGAACAGTAATGCTGCAAACTTGATGTGTGATAATTTATTTTATTCGTTTTCAGAACTAAGAAGCAATATAAATGTTTTTGATATTAATATTCTAAGTAATAGTGTATAAATGGTACTTGACTTGGGACAGTCGTTTAGGTCACAAAATGGCTTCAGCATAGAAAATAGTTCCACAAATTGTTAATAAAGTTTCTTTAAAACGTCTCTAAAAAGCGAAGTGTCTCTGCATACTCAAAATTTCCCTAAAGCAGTGCAATAAAGCTGTTTTAGAGAATAGCTGTCAAAATTTGGCCTAAAAAATTTTATGAACTGCACACAAGAAATTAAAGAATTCTAGAGTGAAAATGTTGGACCGGTAGAACAGTAATTGTTACGGCTGAAAATTGCCTTTCACAACTTACTGTACCATTTTAAACTGTAGTTTCAGGCAGTAACTTTAATTTCCGGAATGATTCACTAAAGCAAATAACGAGTGATATCAATTTAGATTACACTGCGTATTCAGTGCAGTACAGCGGGTGTATTTTTGGAGATGCAAGAACTACATGCGTACCAGTATTACGTTAACAGTTCGCTACCTTTCAAATTTTATTATGGTTTTTATTAATTATGACGCTATTATAACTATCATTATAAATGTTATTGTCATTCTAATATTAGCGGCTTACATTTGTTGTTTTCATAAAGCCAAATTGCTCATTACTCATTGACATTGTCGGGTTACTTTCTGCTTTCAATTAATCATTAATTCTCTTTCATTCGGTAATTTATTGTTAATAACTTTTTTTTACATTACTTGCAGAAAACCACACTTTTTATACATTCAGCTTTTTGTTTGTTATTTTTCCGCTATAACTGTTTTTTCTCTTTCATAAAGTCGTTGTTTATGAATGTGACAAGTTTATTCATTTCAATGACCAAAGAAACTTTATTTGTATTCAAAACGAACTTTCGTTTACTTATTGTTTTTGTATTCCCGTGAATCAGTTGGATTTTGATAGCACTAGTGTACAATAGAGGGAAGCCAGGTGTCAACGAGGGATCTGCTTTGCGAAGCTGCAGATGACTTTATCGTTTATTTAAATATTATTTATTTAGTTAATTAAAACCGAGATTTTTGTTCAATCGAAGTGAATTTGGCGTTCCCGAATCATTCTTCCTAACGCGCTCAAAACAGTTGTTCTCCCATATATTAGACGAACAGACTGTTTGCTTAGCAGTATAGCCAAAAAATGTTTATATAGTGAAAATGTCTCCTAAAAGCAAATAAAAAGGCGCAATTTTTGTTTTTATGTCAGTGTTGGTATGAATCAAATTATCAACAACACTTACCAAGAAATGGTTATGTAATTCCTGGTAAAGTGACTATAAAACAAAAGGTTGCAACTAAGAGCAGAACAGTTTTCTGTATTGTGCTTGTATAATTAAGAGTATTTATTCACTCACGCTGGATGATGTACAATATGTAAAACGTACTATTGAAGAAGTAGTTTTGCAGTTTGTTTTGCTTTCTGCTTCGCTGAAAATACTTCCAAAACTTTGAAAAGATTGTTATTCAAAACGCTACACGGAAAAAGTTGTGCGTAATAAGCTGAACACACAAAACATTTGTTCATTGTCTACACTTTCAGAAACAAGAAAAGCACTTTATCAAATGAAAGTATATGTGTGGACGAAATTAGCAGTTGTTGACAATGCTCAACAATATCGTATTGGAAAAACAAAATTTCTGAATAAACTGATAAAATGGGCTTATAAAAACCTTTTTGAGTTCTATTTTTTTAATGTTTTATTTTGCTTTGGAATCATATAGTTAATATCTCACTATGAGCTGACAGCAATACTTGTTGAAAATTTATTCTGCTAATCTAATTTCGGTATACCGTCTAGTTGACCGACAACGACTCTATCTATTTAAAAAACGATAAACCAAAAAATTTTTTTCATACTACTTTTCCTTGAGCAATGAGATCTTATCTAGAAATTATAAGAACTTTGGAATGTAAAGGCTCTTTTTTGATAAAATATTTAAGGCAATATTTTCTTCAAAAAATGTATTTCTTCAACGTTTCATAGCACCATATTTAAACATCAGTCACAGCTTTATTTCAAAAGTGTTAAAATAAAATTTGCATATAGTAATTTGTCACGTACTTACAATAAAGCTTTAAAGTAACAGCATTAAGACACTAGCAGATGAAAGCGATCAGTACGTTAGCGGTAGTACTCCTCGTCGTTTCTACGGCATTTGGGTCTGCGCCAGCAACTGCAGCGAGTGTTCTTGAAGATTGTACCGCAACAAATCCGACAGCCAATGCTGGCTGTACGACTTTGTTTCCTACTCCAGCTACTGACTGTGCGACTGGAGACCAAACAGTTGTCAAGGTATGTTAGAAAGATTTTTGAAAGAATTTTTTCATTTCTAGTATCAAGATACCTAGCATTTGATCAGCATATCGATTGTGATAAGCTGATAGATAAGCGAAGCGTCACCTGTAAAAAAGCTGATTTCTCAGACAATTTTTCTAAAAATAAGTTTTTCAATTTCAGAAAAGTAAAGAAACAGTGTAAGAGGATAAGAGGTTTAAAAAGGGGCTTGTCAAAGCGTGTTCGCGGTAACGCAGTAATGGCTTTTGATTTTTTATTGAAATATTTTTTACTAAATTTTTTTTTGATATGCGTAACAAACTAAATTAATCGAATAAAAGATCTTTGGCTTAAAAGATCTGCTTCAGATCTTTTTCTGCTTTTATTTGATTTTTCCAGTTCCTGTATTGCACTTTCAGGAAATTAAACTTTTGCCGCAAATTTGCATAGAAATCTACGTGATATGATTTATTTTTTCTGACTTTCTGTACCTAAACTTAGGTATAATAAGAAAAGTCTGCTAATTGCTTTCCTTTGTTTAAAAAACAAAGCGTGTAATTGTTTGATGGCATATAAAAATAGCTTAAATAAATGCATAAGCTGGTCGAACCAAAACAAAGAAAAAATTAGTCTTATAATATCAATTTTCTAGCTCTGTCCTTTTACATGCGGAAACTGTGCAGCATATAAGAGCTGCAGTGATACCGGTGTTCTAAACTGTACTGCGCTCGTAGCTGGCGGTCTCTGTAAATCCAAATCGCCGTCAATTCTTACAATGGTAACACAGAATTGTCCGTCCAGTTGTGGCCTATGCACTAACGGCCTTAGCGGAAGTAATTCCAACTTATGCAAAGACATAAACGCAGCATTTTGCGTGGCAGAAGCGGTAAAAATTTGTTTGTGCTCTCAATATTTTATAGAATGTAAAACTGAGACAAAGCTATCAAAAAGTTACATTTTAAATGGAAAAATGGTTTAGGCAAGCTGCAACAAAATTCAGCTTTATCAGTTTATGACAGAAACCTGTCCGTCAACCTGTAATCGATGTCCGTCGAGTGGCGCTGCTAGTGGATCAACTTCGGCGTCTTGCGTAGATACCTCTCCAGCGTCAGTATTTCACTCATCGCTTTACGGCCGTTGTACTTCATAAACTGACTTACAATTCAGATTTTAAACTTGAGCGCATCTTCAAAAAATTGAAGATTCTGCTGCAAAACTAACATGTACCAGTTATATTTAGCTTTGCAAAGGCCAGCTTGTAAACATTAAATGACGGTACCTGCAAGCATTTTAGCAAATTGCAGCTAACACACGCTTACTAAAATTTTTTATTTCTAGGTGTTCTATATGGAACAGTAATGGGTACTGTAGAAGCACTTCGTGGTCTGAAGCTCAAAAGCGTGCCACTTGCGCAAGAACATGCCAATTGTGCTAAGCTTATTTTTAGAAGACGTCATTGTATCAAAATAAATGGTAAAATGCAAAAAATAATGTTTTAAAAAATAAAATTTAAATAACTAAGGATGGAACAATTCAGCAAAATACGTTTTACAGAGCATAAGCAGAATGGTCAAGAACAGAAATAAACAACTGCGTCATTAGCAAATAAGACAGTAAAGTGGTTCAAGCGGAAGATCACGTTCTTCTAAGCGACAGTATTAAAAAAAGTTTCTAGTTTTAATTGTACAGTAACATAATAGATGTTTTAAGAAAACTTGACTAAAAGCAGCTGTTTCAGGTAAATTATAGCTAACACTTCGTGAATGTTTTGATGAACTTTTAAATTCATTACTTTTGGAGAGAAGAAAGATACGTTTTTTATCTCTTTCTAAAACTTTGAAGCTGTAAATGTTACTTACAGTTACCAAGCCAAAAGTATAAGCAATTGCGTTAAAGCAAGACTTCTTTGTATAAAATGGCTCTTTTTTGAGAAGCCAAACGCCTTATTTACACAGTTATAACAGATATCCAGCGGCAAATTCAAATTCTAGTCAAGTGTACCGGTTTCAGCTCGTAGAGTGATTTGACCAATAGCTGATATTACCGCTTTTCGAACCCGACTATAACCTTACTTTTGCTACTGCTATAATGAAGAACATTTTGGCAGTCATATTTACGGTTAACTCAACTTGTTGAATACTATGCAAGTTTTGTATAAAAAGAATCAGTCATGCGAGACAAAAAAAAATTGAGAGCCATTATGCATCAACACCTTCTTCTTTGTAACGATGAAAGAATTTGCCAGAACAAGCTCTCTAACCTTCATAATCTTCACAGATTTCAAAATTTTGCGCCATGCTGCAAATAAATTTGCATCGCCACAAATCGACCACCTACGGTCATTCCAAACACCTGTTTTCTTCCTTTTTCCTGAGTTTTTCTTCTAAAGTTTCTAATTTCTTTATTGCACTTTTTAATACAGCTCATTCGTAATAACACAAAAAAGAACTTCTTATTTAAAGCACTAAATTTGCAAAAGATACCATTGGTTGCCTTATTGTTGACAGAAAAATCTGAGAAAAACTGTAAATTTGAGACGTCAATGGTGCAGGTTTGGAAGTACAAATCGGAAAATTTTACTTTGAAAGATTTACTGTTGATAGAGCAAGACTGTGTCTTATTTTCTGTTAAATTTGGTCTAAAAATCAACTTTTATCAAAAAATAGTTCATTTTTTGATAGAATTTATAGAATCACACTTTTTTATTTATTTTGACTAACTTTTGTAATTTTTTTGTAAACTGAAAAGATTTTAGATCTGCAAAGATATAGGATTGCCTATATTATACTTTACATTCAGAACAAACTTTCAGACATTTCCTAGATTAAACATGAATAAGACTTTGAAGTGAAGGAGAAGCGTAATTTGATGACACATTTTCTGTCAAAAATTTTGAAAGTACAAAGCAGTTATCAAGTTGAATTGAAAGCAACAAAGGTGTAATAAAAGAGGAAAACAACCGCAAAATTTTTATTTTTTAAACTTGTTTTTTTCTTTCTAGAAAAGAAAGAATTCTTTGTGTCTTAGGTTGATAAAGGGATGTTTTATGCAAAAATAGTCATTTTTAAACTTTTTATTTTTTCTTTAATTTTAAAGCTTTTTTTTGGAATTTTGAAGTGTTTTATTAATAGGAACAGCTGACGCTTTTTTGCATCTACAGAGTACACTGTCTTTGGTGAGAGAAA